AAATGTTCTGTGCTTTTGGTCAACATTCAGGCTTGTTGGAAAGTTGGCATAACAGATTACCTCAGTGCCAGGGTTTTCTTCTCTCCTTCCATGAGTCAATAGCACGTGGACTGGGGTTCCTGACTCCCTGGCCTTTTTAAAATCTGGAGATGGATTCATGGACATTTCTATTGTTCTATTGTCATCTGAGTCCGCTGGGGGAGGGGGGTGAGCCCCTACTGAGCTGCTAGACTAGAAAGATGCACATTCATTAACCAAGGGGCATCACCCTCAAAGCCAAGACTGTGTTGCCCCTGATACATCCATGTCCATCTCTATAAAGAAGTGCACTTACCTCTAACAGGTCCCATGTTGAGTCTCTGAGGCCTAACACGGTTTGCCCATCAGTTGGGACTTCATACTGGCAGGCTCATTTCTGAGTGGACCGCAGCTATAGGAGAGATCTAAGCTCATCTGCAATCCATCACTCTGAGACATCTTCAAGTCATCAGAATTGCATTCTAAACATGCTAAAGTAAGCACGTCTTCATCTAGACACACAGAGACACATAGACACACAACCTCCCACATTCCCATGCAACAACAACACAGCAGATATCTCGTAATCAATGTTTAAAACAAGCTTCGGTGTTCTTTTTCTAAAAGGACAATTGGGAAGCTTCAAAATAAGTCATTAGAATTTGCTACATGGCTTTTTAATCCCTAACCCTGAACCCCCGAAAGCCACATTTTTATTTCCTTAATGACAGTATTATAGTTCCATGAATTCTATCTTTCTCTTTTGGATGCTATAAACACTAGTTCCCAGTCTGTCCCCTTCCGCTAATGGTGGGAATGGCTGAGGGTGATGGAGACCTTGGGCCATGGTTGAGCAAGACAAGAGCAGACTTCTTGGGAGGCAGGCTCCATTGAGCAGCTTGTTTAACTGGTGGTGGGGGTGGGGATGGGAACAAAGGCTATTTAAACCTTTAGGGGTAAGTAGGGGCTATGGGGTGAGTACATCATTGGTGCAGGCCAGGGTGCTAGGGACACCTCATTTGCATAAGGAAGAATTTCAGGTGCTGCTGGACATGGCCTTATAAGGGGAAAGGAAATTTAACCTGGCTGCGTGACCTCCTGTGATAGGGCAAAGGTCAGGGGCATATGTCTATATATGCCAGGACATGCAGACCCAGGGCAAGAGGTGAAGGGCAACCCTACTCCTGCTGATCTCAGGACAAGATATCTGGGGTTTGGACACACCTCGAGCCCCTCTTGCTCCAGGCCTGTTTCCCGAAGCTGCACAGCTCCCTGGCTGCACAGTGGACAACTGTCCTCACAGAGCCCATCCCTCAGCATTAGAAGTGATTACTATTAACAAGATTAACCATGTGGCAACAGAGAGCCTGAGCCCCAGACCAAAGGCACAGACTGTGTGAGGTCAAGCCGAAGCTGAAGAAAGTCACAGTAATGCTGATGGAGCCATGCCGTTCATGCAAGCAAGTACCAGCTTATGAGTGTCGTGATGAGCCAGACCTCACCCCTGTCCCCACCCATGGCATGTCCCCATCAGTGACATCACACTCCTGTGAAACTGGGCGTGTCCCACAAGAGACGCCCTCCCTGGTTCTGGCCATATGACCAATATTAGACATTTGACAGCTTTTCTGAACTCTGAGCAGGGTATCCGACAAGTTCTTTCTGTGCCAAGTAAATGTCTCCTTGATACAAATGTGCCTTTGATCTCCTCTCTCCCTCTTTTTCTGTCTGTCACGCCCCACTGTGTGTGTGTGTGTGTGTGTGCCACAAAGCATATGACACAGTGGGCATGTGCAGGTCAGAGGACAGCCTCCATGTTGGTCTCTGCGGCCCTCTTTCCTTGAGGCAGTTTCTTCTTTGCCCCTGTGTGCACCAGGCTAGCTGGCCCATGAGCTTCTGAGGACTCTCCTGCCCCACCTCCCATCAGCTCAGGAGCCCAGGAACTGCAGGTTGGCTTCTGTGCCTGTGGTTTCTAGAGATCCAGACTTACATTCACATGGCAAGTGCTACACCCACGGGCCACAACCCCAGCCTTGTCTTTAGTCCTCTGTCAGATCAGGAAAGTGTGCTGGTTAACTTTTATCAACCTGACACAAAGTTGTCTGGGGAGAGGGAGTCTCGCCTGAGGAGTTGTCTCCAGCAGATTGGCCTTTGTGCATAGTTATGGGGCATTTTCTTGATTAGTGATTATATGGGAGGACCCAGTCCACTGAGTGGTATTGTTCCTGGACAGATGGTCATTCTGGGTTGTATAAAAAATACAGCTGAGCAAGCCAGGGGGATGCAGCCAGGAGGCAGTGTTCTCCCACGGTCTCTGCTTCAGTTCCTGCCTCCAGATTCCTGCTTGAGTTCCTGGCCTGACTTTCCTCCATGATGGACTATGACCTGTGAGTCAAATAAACTCTGTCCTCCCCAAGTTGCTTTTGGTCATGGTGTTTGTCACAGCAGCAGAAAGCACACTACAACTGATCAGAAATGGCCTCGTGCTTCTGACAATTTCTGTGGAGTTCCATAACTCTCCTACTTTCCAGAAGATGAAATGCCTCATGTGGTCAGTGCCCGAGGTTTTTATTTCACTGTGTGGTGTCAGTGCCAGCAGTAACTATCTATCCGCTTCTGTTGAGCAGCACACAGGGTAATTGAAGACATCTGCTGGAGCTGATATTTTAAGGGAAGGCGACCCTTAACTTACCACCCTCCCCCGGCTATGAATATAAATATCAAAGCAGCCACAACGAGCTACAGAGCAGGACTCTCGGCTGTCCTCCTGAGCATCCTGAGGTATGGGGAGAGGGCTCAGCAGACCTGAGTCTCCAAGCACGCAGAGCAGGTCAGAGCTGTGTTCAGAACAACGGCAAAACCCTTGTCTGGAGATTTTGCCTAAACTTTACTACTGTGCTTCCCTTGGGACTCAAAGTCCCCGTGTGGCCTTCAGAGCAAGGGGAGTTATCATTTATCTATCCAGGTGGCCTAGGCACTTGTCTTTATATGTTCTCTTCTCTCACACGCATTAATAAAGCAGATATGCCTTCCTTCCATGGAATCCCCATGTCTGAACGCCCTGGGAGGGGGAAACTCTGATGGCTGCTAGATCCTTGGAGGACAAGCATGCATCCATGCGTCTGAGCACAGAGCATCATCAGCTCAGGATACTTCACAGCTCAGCTGAGCCACAGGAGGGAGCCTGAAGTGAAGGTCACCAGATGGACTCCCCCCCCCCAATCATACACAGACAGGGGATGGGTCACTCTGCATCTATGAGAATTCTTCATAAATGAAGGGTTAGTCTTCTTTAAAAAAAAAAACACTTGAAAAGTTGAGGAAATGCTTAGCATAAAGGACTAATCCCTTTGTATATGCTACCATGAATAGTTGAGATGATACAGTGATTGTAAAAGCACACGGCCCTGGAAGGCTACTGCATGTGCAACCCAGGCACAGCCTCCAAAGGAAAGCTGTCTGCACACACCCTTCACCCATCCCCTCCAACACACCAACCCACAAGCCCCTGCCACAGTCCTCTCCACAGCTATGCTTGCATCCCTGCACACACCTGCACTGCGGCCATTAACACATCCCACTGACGTCATGTCCGTTCTTGCTCCTTGCTCTCACTCTGAGTGGCTCTGGGGGAAACTAACTATGGTCCAGTGGCTCTTTGCTTGGCCTTTTGGCTTGGCATTTGTGCAAACGCTGAGAGCTCAATAAATGTTGGAGGTGGGTAGTTGAATGGATAGATGAAGGCGTGAGGGCATGAACAAGCAAAATGCTGCACTGCCTCAAGGTTTGGGACAAACACATGTGGAAATCTGAACATCAGTTTTGCTGATGAGAAGAAGGAGAGTCCAGGGGATGTGAGCAAACTGAAGCTGAGGCTCAGAATTCTGAGCCATTGGAAATATGCACAGCAGATCGTGTCTCCTCTGGGTTTCAGGCTTAATGGCACACACATATCCATAACACAACTAAGCATCATTTCCTGCAGTGATGCCTGTGCCAAGAGCTGCCACACATGGGATAGCAAGAACAGAACAGCAATTCAGTGTGGGCCCTCACTGTGTCCTAGTGACTCACACAAGGACATAGTGACTTACATCTGCCCCCATGTAAACAGTTCCATGTCTGCTGGGATGAGGGGGAAGAACCCAAGAGGACAAGGCTAACCTCTACCTGTCCGTGACTAGAAGCCATGATGGACAGTGCTTGGCTAGATAGCTCAGAGGGTAAAAGCATTTCCCAGCTATCCAGATGACCTGAGTGTGACTACAGTATCCCACACAGAGAAGGAGGGATCCAGCTCCTGAAAATCATCTCTGATTTTTCAGACACACACACACATGCGAACACACGTACATACTCAGACATACACATACTCAGATACACACGTACACACACAGACACATACCTGTGCACTTACATGCACATACACACATACATACACACACACACACGCACATGTACACCCACACACACACACTAGCTAAATTGTTTTTTTTTTAAAATAAGAACCATAAAGGACACATTTAACAAGTGATTCCAAGTATTCTTGAAAATCTCCCAGAAGTATCCTGTTTCCTCATCACTGAGTTTTGGGGACACCTTTCAGTATAGAACCTTCTATGAATAAAGCTGCTGGCTACAGCCAGCCTCATAATTCACAAGTTTCATAATTACTTTCCCATTTTGTTTTTAGAACAAAACCAATCAATAATCACACTGGCTGATTCAGGTTTAAAAAAAAAATGTTTAGATCTGTCTGGAAATAACCTCAGACAGCAATTTAATGTGGACCTTTTTGATAAAATAATACCCAATTTGATAAAATAATTTCTTCCATCCCTCTTAGTTCAGGCCCCAAAGTTAATGAAATCAGACAGCTAGGTAGCCTCTGAGAGAGAGAGACAATCAACTCTGCATGCAAGGGCGGGAAAACGATTTGACATTTCCTGCAGTGTGTCCAGCTAGGATGGTGCATCCTTTACCTTGGTCAAAGGGCTTGTTGGGATTCCAGTTTCTGAAATAATCATCCTAGGAAAGGAAAACAGAAACAAAGGTCAGGTGTTAGATGCCTCTCACTGAACTGCATAAAAACTGACTTGCCCCGGGTTTCCAAAACACAAAGGAAAACCCTCACCACTTACAGATCTTCCCCCAAACGAGCACTAAAATACAATCAAACATATCAATTTACTTCCCCGGTTCACACCTTTCAAATTGAATATACTAAACACTAGGAGTTATAAAAACACTTCAGCCTGATACAGAAACAGCTCTGCCTGTCTTGGTTTGACATATAAACCCAGACATCTCCTAAGTGTGAGGTGTATTTGCTATCAATTATACTGTAGGTGATGCCTGGATGCTCGCACTTATGATTAAGCCCCTGTGTTTGTAACAGCTGATAATTTAACTGTCAGCATTTCCTTTACAAGGAGACATATATCTTGTGGTGCACATTTCCAGTTTCCCAGCACTTACAGAGTCTAAAAACCATAGGGCCGTGCAAATGTTAGAAGGACCCTAGGTGTGTATTTAGTTTAATGTCCCTTGGGATAGGGATGGAGAGGGGTGGAAAGAGGGTATATGTTTAGCTTAATGTCTTTTGTTTTAGGAAAGGAGGGAGGTAGAAAGCAAAGGATTTCCTGCTTCATGCACAGCCAAGTAGTGCCTGCCTGGAGTCTGCACCAAGCATGTGCCAAGGTCGGCACTTTATTACTCTGAAACTGCAAGAAACTAGTTCTTCAGGGTTCTGTTAACTCTTACTTCCAACAGCCCTGTCCCTTCCAAACAACTACCTTTGGCCCCACCCTCCCCTGCACACTCATGTTTGCAAGCTGAAGAGGCTATCCTGTTCTACACCACAACAGACCACCTCGAGGACATTTGGCCCTTCTCAGCTGATAGCCAGTTTGTTAGCAATGTGGCTTTGGCCAGGTATTCCAGACACCACAGATGCCTTCAAAAGGCTGTCGGAAACGATTTCCCTCCTGGAGGAGCTGATTTACATCGAAGTGCACAGTTGGTTTAAATTATTGTCTGCACTGTCCCATGCTTTACTTCATCTCCCACACACTCTCCTGGGGCTTTCAGGAGCCTCCTCCTCGTTCAATCACCTGACTATATTAGATCCTTGTGAGGTCACCCAAGCCCTCAAAGAGGTTTTTGGAACTAGATTTAGAGGTAAATGAGAACTGCTTCATGGCCAGTGGTTTCATTTGGCAAGGTACAAGTAAATACAAGCAGCCTCCTTGGCTCCCGAGACTCACCACTGAGCTGTTTCTACCTCTAAGGAACTGATGCACTTTGCTCCAGCTTGAAGTTTACGCTGCAGCTGTAGTGACGTTTTTCCCGAAAGTTGGGAGGAGTTAAGGTGGGAGGAGTAAGGAGAGAAAGAGGAGGAGTAAGGAGAGGAAGAGGAGGAGCTAGGGAAGGGGAGATGTAGGAGGGATGGAGAGCCACACAGGTATGGAGAGCAGTCCTGGGTAACATCTTATATCTAGGTTAGTTAATTGGTTAACACTTCCAGTTCTGTGGGCATCTTGCTAATTGAGCATTACCAAACACATAAAGCCTTTGGATAATCTAAGCATTAGAGTCTCATTTCTACCAGGCCTACGTGGATGGCGGGATGGTCTGGGCTGAGCCCAGCCTTGTAGAGACAGCATGGGAGATTGGCAGAACCATCTCTCATGCTGGCATCTCATAGATGGCAGGACCAATGTCTCTGGCCACCTGAGTCAGCAGCCTGAGCCAAGCAGCAGCGATAGTTCACTACTGCTGCTCATGACCACAGGCCGAGGCTAGTTGGGAACATGGTGACTCAGTAAACAAGCGAGATGGGGTGTCGCTGTTTTTAAATATTACCAACATGCCCCTCATTTGCCTTGAGATCTGTCCCAAGAGCCATCATTGAGACAGTCTAGAATAATCTACCTGCACATCACTCCTCCAACTTACTGTTTTAAATACAATCCAAATTTGGGGATTGCGCTGTCTCAGCACTGATCACCGATGCTAAACAGTCTTAGGGTAAAGTGTGGTCATCGGCTATTCAGCACTCGATGTTTCTGTCTGACGGTTAATGTCCTCTTGGTCTTAGACAAGCCTCTTACAGAAGAGTCTATGGTTCACAAGGGTAAGGCAAGAGATTACCCAAAAGGGACTGACTTTGGGCAATAGAGGAAAAAGATAACAAACTATTCAGGCTGCCAAACAATGAACTCTTCTTGTGCAAACAGGGTGGCATAAGTCCTAGGGTTCTATGGAGGACCTGCTGAACCATTTTCACCTAAACATGATGTCCTAATTCTCGGACGCTCTGGAAACCGAAGATGTATGCACAACAGGGAAGGGCTGGAACCTAAGAGGAGTTGCTTTACTTTAATCTCACATGCTACATTCTCTTTGATGTCCTACACTGAGCTGAACAGGTCCCGAGAACAGACTACCCCCTGATGATTTTAGCTGGAGATCCATTTGGGGACCTACTGGAGAACCTGGATGGAATCTTAACCATTCTTCTGGACCTTATGACGCTGCAGGTTAACTCTAATTGCTATTTTTACATTTTTTCTTCTGAGAAAAAAAAAAGCACAATCTTAGATATAAAGCCTCTAAAAGCTAGTATCTATCTGCCTTAGAGTTTTTAAAACCCGCTGCAACTGTAACAATTCTGCCTAATTACTGTAAATGTAAAAGAGGACATTGAACAGAAACTCATTATGGAAAAGTAAGTTCTTCAAACACTTCCTTGTCCAGTAAGGCCAAGTGGGATAAGGAATCACAGCCCGAATCTGGTTGCTTTCTCTGCGCTAAAGGAAAGTTGACCACAACACAGGCCAAGGAGCCCAGAGCTCCTGAAGATTTATGTACTATGATTTTGACTATAGCTGGTGGAAAGCCCTGCACTGGAAGCCAAGATCATGAACTGTGAAATTTCATGCAACAGAGCTTGTTTGGGAAATGGGCAGTGAGAGGTTTCTAGATGTCACATCTGCTGCTAGGGTCAGAGTCTGATGCGTCACAGCATCCGTGATCACTAGTCTAACATGGACAAGCGCCTCAGGGAAGCCCACGCAGGCTCAGCTGCTTCGGCTAACTTCCTCTAGGAGACATTTTGATGAGGTAGCACTAGCAAGGTGCAGAGAGCCAGAGATGAAGGAATGTCGTTTACAGACTTCACCTGGGTGTCTGCTAATCCTCAGGTCCCGCCTACCTAACCACTGGGATCCTCCAGAGACTTAAGCTCTCTACACTCCCGAACTGTCAGGCCACCAACATTAGGGCTGGTTTCATCTCTAGGGACCAAGACCCAGTTTGCACAAGCCAGGTCTTCATTTTCTGTCTAAACAAAAACACAGGTCTTGTTGACTACCCGCAGGGCATCTGGCCCTACACCCTGATGCTGTACTATGTAACGGTGTATTCCTGCTACTAGGAGCTCAGTGGCCAGTTGCAATGCCAGCAAAGACCTGGACTGTAAGAGCCCTCACCTCTGACCATCTTTCTAGCTCGAGAAAGTTTATGCCTGTTCAAATTCACGTGAGGACGAAGTAAATGGAAGTTTGACAGGCGAGTCTGTCTGAATTGGCCTCTCGACTAGAAATGTGGTCATCTAATGACAGAGTTAAGCCTAACTAGAAAAGTAGACATCTAAGTACAGTCATTTATTAGACTCAACAATACTCATGAATGTGTTGCCCAGACAGAGCGACATGGATGACAGACAGTGTCGCTCTTGCCTCTCCTGCAGGGTCTAATGGTATCAGGCTTCTACTGGACAGGAAGCACATTGGCTTGCCCAGAAGCACAGGCAATTCATGGGAAGAAAGGCAAATTCTATTTTACTTTCCTATCCCATAAGTGATTCTTCCCCAACTCTGGTCAGTTAAGACTCTCCAAGAACCTATCTGTCTTAACAGATGCTCAAGCGTGAGTATACTGACTGATGACTGAATTGTTACATTGTTTCTGGGCAGCAAATGCCTGAAGAGTCTGCCTGACTGCCTGTCAGAAAGTGATCCGTTGTTATACCTCTGAGACTGAACGAAGGATGGTTGATGCTCACAGCAAATGACGAATCAGAGACTGGGTAGAACTACTGCACCATGCTATAGTATCAACAGGGACAAAAATCTATTTCTCTATTCATTCATCAGCTAAATATCCCCAGGAACACAGCCCTGGTGCTGAAATTAATAGCTGGTGCAAAGGAATTAACTGAGATTTCACTTGTATTAGAGGGACTCTTTTCTGATCAGTACCCATGAAAGGAAAATATGTATGCGCATGCACATACACATACACACATTTACACATGTGCACACATACACACACATACAAACACACACACATAGGTACACATAGATATACACACGAGCACATACACACGGTACACATACAAATACACATATATGTACACACACACACACATACACACAACTGTATATAAAGTTATCTATAAATGCATGCGCATGTTTATTCTTATGTCACATGGTGCATATTATAAATTATACTGCTGACTCTGTGTATATTCACAAGTCATAATAATGTGTATCAATGATGATACACACTGATGCAGTCAGCTCTCCACACCCATAGGTGGCAGACTATAGATTCAACCAAGCAGCAAAAGTCTTTGAATAACATCTGCGTTTGTACTGAACACAGCCAGCTTTCTTATAATTATTTCCCAGACCATGTGATCTAATAATTATTTACATAGCATTTACACTATATTAATTATTATGTGTGACCCAGGGGTGCTGTCAAGGGGAGGACGAGAGCAGGTTCTATGCAAACGCTATGGAATTTACTTCAGAAACGTGAATATTCCAGATTTTGGGTTCTTTGAGTCCTGAAGCCAGTCATTCACAGGGCACTGTATTCTACTACGAGTCTTCGAGAGAAAGTTTGAAGTCTGCCTGACATGAAATGAGGCCAGAACACATGCACAGTCCCCTCACCATGGGTGAGCCTCTCCAATAGCAATAATTGAACATGGCTGCTCTCCCCTTGTGCCACGGCCC